CTCCACATTAATACCAGTTTCAGCACAAAATAAACATGACTAAACATCCGAAGGTAAGTTAAAAGAAAGAGTACAACTTTACAATCTGTATCCTGTCTCATGTAATCTCTCAATCAGTGTTTCAGCCGCGCAAAGACGTCAATATAACGGCTTGTAAACAACGTCACGTAAAGTCACATTTACCTCAGAAAAACATATTTGGTGACCATAAACTCATTAGTAAGCTAGAAAAATAAACTGTAGAGAGGGGCATTTTGCTATATGCACCATATAACATATTCATTATAAATGTTACTGTTCTTCAATGTTTAATTTATGTTTGAATAAATCCATTTAAGTCTTTATGACAGCCACCATTATATATATATAAAAAAAAAAAACGAATTGAAGTAGAAATATCACTATGTAATTGTAACTGTAATTATTTTAAAAACTTTAAGTGTAATTTTAACAAATCAGTTAATTTTAACCTTAAAAAAAAAAACGAATTGAAGTAGAAATATCACTATGTAATTGTAACTGTAATTATTTAAAAAACTTTAAGTGTAATTTTAACAAATCAGTTAATTTTAACCTTCAATATTATAGTAATGTAGTACCAAGTGACTCGTGTATATTTTACAGCATTAGTTGAGAGATTTTTTTTCCTTGAGAAAATTTGGTATGTACTGTACCTGATATATACTGTATATCCAAAATAATCGACATCGAATCGAATCGCAAGCTTGTGAATGAGAATCAAATCAAATTGTGAAATTTGTGTCAAAACCTAGCCCTAATATATATATATATACACATATGAAGTTGAAAGTAAATATTGACTATTTTTTTGAGCTTTCTGTACATATAAATGTGCCGTTCTGCAGGATTTGTGTCAAAACCCAGCCCTATTATAATGAAAATTATAATAAGGCAAACTCAGATAAAGCATATATTATTGTAGTTTATTAGTCAAGTTGAATCAAAGAAAGCAGTTAAATCTTCTTTTTATTCAGCTACCGCTGTAGGGATTTCCTGGATTTCTTCTGCGGGGCGTATTTGGAGTTTCTCTGGCCTTCGGATGGAGATTTACTGCTGATCACAGAACTGTGCTTCACTGACAAGATGCGCATGACAATTGCAGCTTTTGCCTAATCGCGATTGCGATTTCATTTCGATTTATCGTGCAGCCCTAGAATGCACCGATACTAAATTTCTCAGCCGATACCAATAACCGATTATTCAGAATGATATCTGCCGATACCGGTAGTTTAGCTTTCTTAAGGAAACAAATCTCTCCCAACGAATGCTGTAAACTATACAGACAGCCCTCTCATTTGGTACATTAGAGGTTCAAATGAACAACAACACTATTATATTCAATGCTATAGATTTTCAGATATAATAATCACACTCAAATGAAAACAATTGTATAAAACCCAATTGCACATTTGGTACTTTTGTGCATAAAACCTTGTTTTCATGACATATTTATTCAAACACGTATAATAAATAGTAAATAAGCTCCCTCTAATGTTTTTACAGTAACTAATACTGTTTTTAAACAATCCGCTGATGGTCAATAGTGTAGATAACTGGTTTTATTGACCGATACCGATTTCTGGCAGATAAATCTGTGCATTAATAAGTGACGCTTATAATAAGTGGACATGGCAACACTTCAAGAGCGCGCTCTGCGAACATAAACAACACATCGCCGAACATAACGAGTCTTTGGTCGCTGTAATATTACTTTGGTCAAAAATAGCGGATACCAAACATGAGACGGCAAAAGATTAGAGTTTAGATTTAGATTTAGTCGCAGCAAATGTTGAAAACACAGATTGGCTATAAGACACTTTCTTGAGCAGAATGTCTCAACTGAGATCGCTAAAATCAAGCATATAAGTAGTTTGTTTTTTTGTAGTAAAGTGTGCTCATGGTCGCCAGTTTGGGAAAATCAAGTAAAAGACCGGGTAGAAAATGCATACGAGAGATTCAAACTCTTGAAATCTGGCAACCGCACCCATGAAAACCTGTGGAGGCTTGTTACCAACACAAGATAACACAAGAGTCAGATAAATGTGGCATTGATGAAACGTGGATGTTTGACGGGATGATGCATACTTTTGCCGTTTGACTGGATCTGACTCAGAAGGATGAATGTAGTCGTTGAGAATCTGATCGAGCTGCCGGTTATCAGGACACCTGAGGAAAGAGAAAATCAAATTATGAAAACTAAACTAAACAGACAATTAAAATAAGGAGCGCACCCTAAAATGAAAATTATGTCAATATTTATCCACCCTTAGGGGACAAACAACATTTTGAAGAAACATCATGCAACGCTTTTTAATTCAATAGTTCAAAGCACTTTTTTTTGTTGCTGTTGTTGGTTGTATTTAAATTTACTGCCATATCAGCTTCACAGGCTACTGCATAGCAGATACAGATTTTATATAGATTTTTCTCATATATTTTATATAATTCAAATCTTTTGGGTCCATTTTACAAAGTTTTGGGTCCATCCAAGTTAAAAATCACTGTCTCATGATATTAAAAATTTGGCAGACCAGAAACAATATGTATTATCAATAAATGCCCATGAGTCAGTGTAATATGGCTTATAGTAAACCTTCTATCCACAACTTAGTCATGTCTGGATTTCACATTTCTCCCACCACACGATTTATTTAAAATAATTTGTCATTTTGACATTTTTCCCATTCTGCTTGCCATTTATCAAATGAACTATTCATTAGGAGCTTGAGATGTTTTTTTTACTCTGAAATGTTCTTCAAAACATCTAGGACTTCATGGATTTGGAATGATATAAAGGTCATTATGATGGTTGAGAGAGTGAATCCTTAAGGATTTTCCATTTTTGATGAACTATTGGCTTGTCATGACATTATTTGTTTTATTTTTTTTTCCCGAATCCCAGTTTTATTTCATTTTAAAGGTTGAATTAATTAATTGGTTGAATTATAAATTAATTGATTACTAAAATAATTAAAAACGATGAATTAAAATGTATTAATTAAACGTTTAACAAAAATAACATTTTGGGGCACAACTATAAAGTATTTAATTTTTTCCCAAATTACTTTTCCCAAATTCTACGTTTTCCATTTTAATTTAATTCTGCTTTAATGGTTTACTAGTTTTTAATAATTAAAAAGCATGTATAATCAATTGAATTCATACAACTTTAACAACTAAACTTTTTAAAGGGGTCATATGATGCGATTTAAATTTTTCCTTTCTCTTTGGAGTGTTACAAGCTCTTGGTGCATAAAGAAGATCTGTAAAGTTGCAAAGACTAAAGTCTCAAATCCAAAGAGATATTCTTTATAAAAGTTAAGAGTCAGCCCCGCCTACCTAAAACGGCTCGTTCTAACATGCCCGAAAGCGCCAAATAAATACTTTTAAAATGAGAAGAGAAGGTCTTTTATACCGCTCTGAATAAACCGCGTCGCTCTGAGGAAAATGGATCTTCAGATGCCAGTAGAATCGTCCTTCCCTGCAGGAACAAAACCAGAAAACTGAGTTACGCTTCCCAGAACACCATCCGGACCTCATACTGCACTATATGTCCCGCTCCGGAGTGACTGACTCACATCAGAGCAATAATCAGATCGATGAGATGCACTGAACACATAGATGACTAGATGTTCTAACAGAAAGGCTGTTGCTTTGTTCCTAGAAGTTTAGTTTGACAGCCAACAGCAAATGTGTTTTTCCAGTAAGGAAACTCTGACAGCATCCGTATGTGGACAGTCAATGGTGGACAGAAGCACAGGCCTGTCTGGCATCTAACGTCGCTATTTACTGGAACAACATGTTGGAGCGTCGATGGGCCAGTGTTGCTAATGTAATCGAGAAGGTGTGCGTTTGGAGGGAATCGATCCTGGGCATTACGGTTATGATGACGACAATTCAACTGGCCGAAAGCCTGGAGCTGAGCACAGACAAAAAAAATGAAGGCTTTCTTTACTAGATCAAAAGAACATGAAACAGCGCTGACCGCTTCCACAGCTGCTGCTAAGAGTTTTATGTTCTTAATGCAACACGCATCAGTGTTCAATTGAGTAAAGCTTGGCTCTGTCAGCGCGATAATGGCGCTGTTCGGCTTCAATATGAGGATGAACAGAAGAAATACAAGCCCCCGGAGTGCTGTGATTTGGCCGGGCAGGATCCCACCCTCTGTGCCAGCTGGATCTGCTGAAGACTCACTGCAGTTTATCCAATTCAGGGTGAAGCAATAAGCCACGAGATCTGCTTCGCAACTCAGTTGAGCAGAGACCGATTTCATGCAAATGAGCAATGATGCCAAGCAGAAACTATAAATGGGATAATTAAATCACAGTCGGTATGAACACTCAGTAATTGGAGGTTGTCTAATGGTTGCCAACCAACGTAACTGCAACGATCGATCAATATTCAATGCAACTTGTCACACTAATAGAATACAAATCTTCTTGCGTCAGACCAAGGCTGCATCTCATTGCTAGTTTTACTTGATCTTAGTGCTGCGTTCGACACCATAGATCATGACATACTTATAGATCGATTACAAAACTATACAGGTATTCAAGGGCAGGCTTTAAGATGGTATAGATCCTACCTGTCTGATCGCTACCACTTTGTTTATTTAAATGGGGAGTCATCTCAATTATCACCAGTAAAATATGGAGTGCCACAAGGATCTGTCCTAGGTTCTCTGCTATTTTCAATATACATGTTGCACCTTGGTAATATTATTAGAAAATACGGGATTAGTTTCCACTGTTATGATGAAACGAGAGCATCAGTGTAGCGAAGATGTTGTTTACGGCGAAACTGAAACCAAGCCGTTCACACAGAACGCATATTTATCACATTTTCTAGCGGGGCATCTATCAGCGCTGCACTCGCGTCTCGCACAAAAGAGCACATGTTTAGAAAGCCATGTCAAATTAATGTAAGTTCAACTTTTAAAAAACATGTCTCAAGACTTTATGGCGGTTTTCCCCCATCCCACTGTATCTCATGTTTTTAAATGAAGAAAGTAGCCTACTCTTTGTGATTGGTTTTCGGTCCTTTGTATTAAGCTATACATGCATGGTGCTGTTTTTTTCTAATTGTTTAAGCAACTTTATTAATTATATATGGTTTATAAACATTCTTTTAAACATTATGCACTTTTTTTCAAAGATAGACGTGTTATTTTATTACGCTTTGAAGAAAAGTGCATAATATTTTGCTCGATGCGCCCTCTTGTGGCCTCAGGAGAGAAGCCAAAAGCTTTTTTCCCCCTAACTGAAATTACGCCTTTTAAATTCGAATATAATTCGAATTTTGATCATATTTAAGTGGAAAATTCGAATTTAGTTTTTCAGTAATTTTGACAGCCCTAATATACATACATACATACATATACATACACACACATACGTACACATATATACATTTGTCTTTGTCTGCAGGATCAGGAGTAGTGCAGTTTTTTATCTACAATTAAACTATTTTTTAAAAAATGAAGTACATCTATATCGATTAACAACCTAAGAGCTTATGGTAAGTCTGTTTATAAGTTATTGACAATTTTGAATAAAAAAGGGGGAAAGCATAGAATTTTACTTCTGGAATCAGACTGTTGCACTGAATCGCAGCTCATCCGGCAGATTTTAACACCATGACTGTTTGTTTGATGAGCTCTTAACATGACATGTCTCTTGTTTAACTTTGCATGAGTCAAAATGCTGCAAAGGTGGAATAAAACACTCAGCGCCGACTTATTTGCTACATATGTCACGAATCACATGACTAAGATGAGAAGAATCACTGACATGCCTATCATCTGCCAGCTCATCTGCTTCCATCCAACCCCGCTTGCCAATCCCAGAAAGAGCCTCCGCCAGGACTTGAGCGTGCACACCAAACCAGATGGCACTGTTACACAACCAAAACATTTTATCAGCTCCTCCGAAACGCATTCTTCAGATGCGAGATCAGATATGAAGGTTCTGGCAGGAGAGTTTGGACTCAGTTTCCAGCCTGAGGTGGGCAGCGTCCACTCTCCGCGGTGGAGGAGGGTTTCTTTCGCAGGTGTAAAGATGCTCCCTCCAGGCAAAGGAGTTTATGGGTTTGCTCGGGCTTGGTGGCCCGCTGGAGCTCAGGGTGGAGGCATGGTGGAAAAGGCCTGGAATACCAGGTGCGAAGGCATTGTTACGCCTCCAATGGAAACTTGTATTTTTTTTTACTCTAATGGAAAAAGGGATTTTCTTTATCAACATTTTTGGCTTGCTTTCTAGTAGAAATGACTAAGCACTCTTAAATCAAGGTACTTTAGGATCCAAAATATCATAATATATAATTCCTGTTTGCTGAGAAATTGATTAAAATTAAGTTTACGATTTAAATGAAATCAAATATCTACCAATGGAGCCAGAAAAAACAAACTATGTAATCTGTGTCTAAGAAATCTAGCAGGTTAAAGGCCCATTCACACCAAGGAAGCTAACTATAAAGATAACGATAAAGATGTAGTTCTAAAAATCGTTCTCAGTATTAAAGAATAGCAGAGTCCACACCACAGCTATAACGATAAAGGCACAGAAAAACGATATCGTTGGAATCACTTTCAGAATGATTTTTTCCAGCTGATGAACGATACAAACATTGACACCCAATCAGAATCCATCCTGCTGTAACGAGCTCGAGAATTTAAAGCGCCAGACGAGTGTGCGCTTAGAATAAACAGACGATATCGTCCGCTGGTGTGGATGCCAATATCGTTATCTTTATAGTTATTGTTCTTGGTGTGAACAGGGCTTAAGGCGTTAAAGGTATTCAAATTCGTTAAAACCCTTGTGAACATACTTATCTGAGAGAGAAGAAACAGCACGGTTGCTTATTATTAATATTTGCCAAGTCAAGCATCACTAACTAAAATCTTATATAACTTGATATTCGTATAGAAATAAGACAGCGAGAAAAGTTTATGCACTTTGACGTGTTTTGACCATTTGGGACATATTTTTTGTAATAACAAAAAAAAATGTTTTTGTTATTACAGAGTAAAGTACCGTTGGGTACTGGCACCAAATTTTAGGTACCGATGCCGGTACCGTACCGGTTAAAATGTGAACGGTACCCAACCTAATTGTAAAGCGTAGTCAGAGTAGTTATCATCAATACACAATCAATGCACATTATGTGCTAATAATTACCCAAAATTGCTGAAAATATAGTGAAACTGCTGTCTATCCTACTTAAACCCATTCAAACATACTGACAGCGCAGAGTTGTTTGGACCTATTGAATTCCATTAACCATGTGACCGCATGGCGGCGAGATCAAAGCATGTCACAACTCAACAGCTCTGGTAACATCCAAGTAACCACCCAGAACACTCTAGCAACCACATAGTAACACATCAACAATCAATCAACACCTTAGCAATGGCATAGTAATGCCCTAGAAACCACCACCCCAACCAAGCAATCGCTTAGTAACACTGAAGCTAGGGCTGGGCGATTTGGCAAAAAATTAAAATCTCGATTTTTCCAGAACGTTTGACCGATTCTCGATTTTTTACGATTTTTAACTAGTCATCTTGAAAATCTACCTACAACATGATTCAAGTAACTTTTTCTTTATTAACCCTCTAGTTAAAGAAAATTCTATTCCAAGTGCAGCACACATGAAGTTGTCAACATGATAAATGTTAAACATTTCACTTGTTAAATACCTTTGCAGAAAATATGCATGAACTACAACTACATATTGTACAAACTTGTCTTATACATATGTGTTTAGAAATAATACGAAGAAAATGCTTTTAAAAAATCTCAAGTCAAGGTAATTCAAATTCAAAATTACCGAAGGTATAACACCAGTAGACTAACTGTTCTGTAAAAACAAAAAAAGCTTTCAGCCTGTCACCATGATGCAAACATAAAATATCAGACATACAGTAGTAGTTCTTCACAGGTTTTTTTTTTATTAGATTGCGCTGCTTTTTCATCGTTTTTTCTATGTAAACATGGACGTGTTTGACTGTTGTCTCATGCATGAAACGGCAGTCTAAAAACACGGCGCTCAAGTTAAAAGAAGTTCACTAAAAATAAAATTGGTGCAAAACATTAAATTCAAATTAATCGATAAAATCGGGGAAATCACCCAGCCCTAACTGAAGCAATGATCAAGAACACCCCCTAGCAAGCACATTGCATCAATCAATCAGAACACCTTAGCAACTCCATAGTAACGCCCTAGAAACCACCACCAACAACCTAAGAAACCGTTTTTACAAATTGTTCAAAATTAAGCGTTTATAATTCAAATAAGAAAAAAAAAATCTGCCAATGGGGTCAGAAAAATTAACTTGTTTTCAGTTTAAATTAAGTTCCCTTTTGATGCCTAATTTTGAACCATTTCTCAGAAAACAAGACTCATCTAACTAATCTATTTCACACAAAATATAAGTGAGCTTTCGAATCACCATCCGCACAGGTTTTGTTGTTCATAATCATGTTG